TTAAATAACTTCCACAGAAATTCAGCCACTGTGGGAAACTAAATGTCTCCATGTATCCTTTGGGGCCAGGGTTTTGTATGCTTCAAGGTATAATGAAGATTAAAGGCAATATTCTTAAATGAACAGGGAGATGCTTATGCCAAAATATACATGAGTAATCTAGAGCATGATACAAAAATGCAAATGCAAGAATAGAAGGAAATCAGGACACTGTAATGCATATTGCTTTAATTTGAGGAGCAAGGGGATTTGACTGGATTTCTAGGGTATAATGCAATAAAGAATAATACAGTGTTTATGTCAGATAGAGATGATGAAATCTCCCAACAGATCAATGCAGGAAAAGGGTATAAATCAGTAGTATTGGAAGGTGTCACCTGAGAGCAAATCTATTCTCAAGCTAAGGTAATATTTTCTGATACTCCCTGTAGTTGAATGCAGTTAATGTGAAATAATGTGAGAGAAATAAAAATAAATCCAAATGGCACTTGAAGGGAAAATGAAAGTTTAAAATACCATCTTCAGGATCCGTCTTCTGTGCTTAGGGGTCTAGGTGAGAGACAGCACCCATCCCATTAGGAATCGTGAAGATGAAGCTGGAACAGCCAACTCTGCTGCTGGAACAGAGCTGAACTTGTGTTTGCCCAGGGCAGGGGAGCAGCACCTTGCACTTGAGCACTTCCTCAAGGTGCTTCTCAGCTCTTGGCTCTGTGGACAAACCTCTCCTCTAACGGAGAGGCAGACACAGCCCAGCTGAAATGTTGGGGCTCCCTGCTTGGAAGTGCCACACATTTCCTTTGCATTGCTTTTTCTCATTTATTTCTGACTGTGTTAAATCACTTTAAATTAATGTGCTTTATACAAACAATCTGCTTTCTGTTGGGCATAGACTTTACTGGGAAAAAAATAAAATGAATAAACATAACTAAGATAACTACTATTCCTGTCTCCAATAATTTCTTCTCCTTCATCATCTGTTGAGTTTTAATATGTAAATGAATGGAAAGAGCCTTCCGGCTTTGCAGTCTCTGTGAGAGAAAGTTCTTGATGACTAATACAATTTTGAAAAAAAAAAAGGATTTTGCTGTAGGGTGATTCCAAGCTAGGACTCACTCACTGGTTTTAAACCACTGGGCTTATTTCCAGTCATTGCTGGTATGAGATCAGACCAAAGGAGCACCAACAGAGCACCTCATCTTCTGCTTGGGCTGGACTCCTCCTGTCTGTTCTGCACACCTCCTAACCCAGTTTTCCCTGTGTTGTTGTAATATTATTCCTAAATTAAAAGAGAAAGATGAGTAGGTCATCCTGGGTAGAGAAAGAGCTGGCTGCAGCAGAGACATGTGCCATCCCAGTCCCTTGGGGCTCCTTTGCCTGTCTCAGCTGAGAACATCACTTCACTCCTGGGGCCGTGCGTGTGAGGGCAGGAGGCACAGGCTGGGCAGCTCCACCTTTCCCCCCAAAACTCTGTTTAGCAATACTTGTGGAGATGTCCTGTTCTGCCTGCAGAAATCATTTTACATGTGTCTGCCTGCTTTGGCTTCTGCTTGATTTCTCTATCTACCTAGAGCACAGAGTTGAACAGATGGGTAGATAGGTTTGAAGTTATCCTCTTGTGCATGAATGCCTGTTTTTTTCAGATAAAATTCTCTGACATCTCAAACTTTCATCTTGAACATATATGAGGCAAGTTGCTTCATATATATATTTATATATATATATTTGCAGTGTTCACAAAACGATAGCACCGTTGAAGTTTCTGTTAGAGAATGCTTTTTTTTTCCTGCACAGGCTGGAGGTGAAGGGAGGGGACAGGTGTGTAAACTGGCCTCATAACCTTACACTGACCTGGAATTCAGTTCACTCCGGGGTGAATTTTCAAATAAAGAGAGACAAAGAAGATAGGCCAACCTGGATTTGAGGTGCAAGGTTTCCATTAACCACATACCTCAGCCCTCCTGTGCTTCCAGTGTCCCTTTTATGGGTGGAGAAAGAAGAAGCTGGGCTGCCCCCCTGGAGGTAGTTTTGCAGCAGGGACTGTAGCAGACCCATGGTGGGCAGTGATGTGTCCTTTTTCTTCCATCTGCCATTCACAGATTTTGCCCAGGTCTTGCATTAGCCATTTTGCACATTGGCCTTTGGCTGGTTCCAGATGCTCACCCAGCCTTCCTCATTTGGTGAGGAGCAGCTTTGTGCCCAACCACACTGATTGCTCATGTGCAGCTGACCAGGTGGTGCACATCACCCCACATCTGTGGTTATCCTTTCACTGTTAATGACAGAATCATAGAGTGGTTTGGGCTGGAAGGGACCTTAAAGACCTTCCAACTCTCTTGCCATGGGCAGGGATGCCACACACTAGGTGAGGTTGCTCAGGGCCCCATCCAATCACACATCGAATGTCTGTGCCTTCTGATGATGATCTAATTCTTTTTCTCTGAATGCCTAGTATGAAAGACAAAGAACTTGGAACCAGGACTCTTTCAGAATTGCCTTCAATTACTGATAGTTTTCTTTTATAGTTACTCCTAAAGACCTGTTGTTTAAACATTTTCCTTTCATATATGATATGCCAGGTTAATTTTGCTTGAGTTCAGTACCAAAGCTGCCACAGAGTATAGAGTATTTTATAGAAGTCTGTTACATGTTAGAGTACAATATAAAGTTAACAAGCAGTTACCCTCATAAATCCACACTGAATTGCATTTACTACAGTATTTTTTCATGTCTATTATGAATTGAACTCTAAACCAGCACATCATTCTTCCCAGGAGCTGGGCCAGCCTAGGGTTTGTCTAGGTCACTTTACTTTTGGAAAGCAGTATTATGTTGACAGTTGTCCAGCCCCTTGCAACTTCCAAGACTTATTGAAAATACTTCTTAATATTCCCGTGTTAAGGCTTCTGAGTAGGTTCTCTTACATTTCTGTAAATAAAAGTTTGACACAGCTGGAACTTATACTAGCTTTGAGGTGGGAGGAAGCAAAGCATGAGCAGGGTAGATAGGACTGCTCAGTGCTCTATAGGAATCACTAACCAGGAGCCTTGTAGTGGCTTTGAGAAGGAATGAAACACTCAGGTTCAGGGTAAAAGAGCAGCTAAAACTAGAAGGAATATTAACTTGGGAATTCTGCTTCTCTGTCTCTTCCAGCAGTGCATACTTGGAAGAGATGTACTGAAAGAAACCCTGAAGAAAACTCCTGGAAAGGAATTAGGATCAGCTAGGAAGCTGAGGACCATGCCATGTTGTGATCAGGAAGCTCAGGAAGCCACATGCGTTAGGATCAGCTAGGAGGCTGAGGACCATGTCATGTTATGATCAGGAAGCTCAGGAAGCCACATGCCAACTCCCAGCCCTCAGACAGAGGCTTAAACTCCATGTTCCTCTGTTGGGGGTTGGGTCATATGTGCACAAGCCCCCAGGGAATTTTGAGATTAAATGTCACTCTCAGGAATGCAGTAACTTCACTTCTTGTAAAATACATTTTCAGCCCTTTTGCCAGTGATTAAAGTTCAAGGTCAAGATGCATCTTTCCTTGTGGACATTTGCTTTGATTCCTGATGTGCTTTACTGAAAAATCTCAGATGTATGGTGAAGGAGGTGACAGCATGTCAGAGAAGTACATATTTAGTTCTAGCAGTGAGTCAATCAGACATCTAGGCAATTACCCTCTGCTCAGGATGACAACTGAGAGATGTGTTTATTCTGTCTCCAGGAATCTCTGTTATTTTAGGATCCTTTCCAGAGTGCAACCAGTGCTAACTTGTCAGTACATGGAGACTCTTGTTTATGCTTTGGTTTCCTATCTGGGTGGGATTATTCAGTTATTGACTTGCTGGCCCCCACTCAACCTTTTAAATTCATTTCTACCTTCCACACAATTTCTTGGCAGGAGCCACAGGCTGCCTAAGCCCAAGCCCTCATATCTTCATCTGGGCTGATGAATCTTTTATCTGCTATTCAAAGGGTATTAGTTCTTCCATGAGCTGTGAGGTAGTACCTTGCTATCACTGCTAAGGCTCCTGAATTTGACTGTGGTTTGGCATCTCCCACAGCCTGACACAGTGCTTTACTGGTCCTTCTCAGGGCTTTGCTTGTGTGGTGAGGTCCCCATGTAAAACTCTGCTCTCCTTTACACCCCTATGAAGTCGTTGACCTCAGAGGCATCACTGCAGGTCAGTACCTGGACACCTGAGAGCCAGCTATTGCCTGTCCTCTCTAGATATACCATAGGTACACTGCAGGCAGCTGCAGTTACACCTCCTGCCTGAATCTGATTAGTGAGCTAAATATTTTCTGCTCCAAGGGAGCACCCAATGCCATATAAGCTGGAGGCTTCCCTCAGGCAATGAGCAGATGAGTTTAGCTGGAACAGACTTTATCTTTTGACACTTTGCTGGGGAGTCAGTTACTTCTGTGAGGAAAAAGGTGTTTCTGATGGTGTTCGCCTTTCTGAGTGATGCAAAGCCTCTGGCACACTACAGAACTGAGCCCCACCGCTTAGCTCAAGGGCAGGCCACAGTCACCCTCCCAGATGTCCCCAGATGGGGCAGGAATTAGTAGCAGCCTACATGTAGGGAACCAAATCTCCCCCTTTTTACTCGAAGAGGATTCAATATAACCTGTACTGCCCTGACCAGGCAACACTCAGGCCATTCAGTCCCTCTGGTTTTGCTCCCACTGAGTCCCCACAGTGTGACCTGGAGCTGGGTGCTGCACCCTCCAGGGTGGGATGGCATCTGAATCAAGCACAGAGACAATCCTCTCCTACCCCACTTAAACCTCTCCCCACTAGAACTCTCCCTCCGACACACACCCCCTTCTCCTGCTGCAAGGCTGGAGGACAAAAAGGGCCTTTGTAGGTTCAGAAGGACTTTCTTTATTTCTCTCCCTGGAAGCCTGGTTATTACAGCAGTAGCCTCTAGCTACATCTCTGAAGAGGAGCACCTCCACCAGGCACCTCCTGTAATAATGACTTCTTTCTCCTTTGAACTTGCGAGGCACTGTTGTATGACATTAAGAAGGTGAATCCAAAGAGGACCATAGATGTAGGGTCATTCCAAGTAAACCCTGACGGGACACAAGAGAGGAGTAAGGTAGCAGAAAAATGATATGACAGCACATAATTGCTGATATGTGCAATTACCAACCACTTATCCAAACAGCAGTTGGTCTTAATCTTACAACCTTTTTTCTTGCTAAGGGTATCAGCCACTAAATTGCTTCTGCTTCCTCTGGGACTCAAAGTAATCTTTAGGCTTGAAATTGAGGTATTTTCCTTCCTTTTCAGTACCTACATTACTTTGCCTTTTTAATATTTGAAGCGATATTGTTCCATTGTTAATCTTGATAAAAAATAAATCAGAGCTACTCGCATTATTATGACAGAAAGAAAAAAGGAAGAATGAAAGAGAGAGAATATGCACTACCTAGAGACAGACTGTTATCTGATCAGGCATTGCACTGGAGGTCCAAATAAGTGTCCATTGCCATCCATGGGCTTCCTGTGGGTGCTGCATACCTTCAACTCCCATTGCCTGTGGTGGGAAATGAGGGTGATCAATGTTTTGTTGGACCAAGCCATCACATTGCCAACTTCCAGGACCAGAGATTGGCTTACTCTATGTGTTTTGCAGCATGGAAAATAGTGATAATACTGGATACATGAAAATAGAAAAAAAAGGAAACATTTGGTGAGCTAGGTCATTCAGCAAATATTTCAGAGGATTGTTGTTGACTCAGATAATGGACTTTCCCATCATCACTGTCTATAAATTAAAAGATGTAAGAGAGTGTTTAAGGTATAATACAGATGAAAGCTTCTTCTTTGTAAATGCTAGTGGCCTTCTCCTGAGGATGCTTCTTGGGCCTGTCCTGGCATTACATGTCTGTTCCCAAGCTCTGACTGAGAAGGACTGAGGATCAAGATGTCCAAGGATATGTCTGGAGAGAGGCTGCACCTTTCCAAGGCAGCTAGAGATGAGATGAATTGGAAGCTGTCCAAGATGTCTGAACCTTCTGGAGTCCAATTCCAAGAAGTTTATCTTTACTGTCTGTGAGAACTCCAGGCTTGGGGTACCGTTGTGGCCACCAGCAAGAGACAGGGTTATGGTAAATAAGATTAACAACTATGAGAAAGTGGGAGGAGAGCACAGTGGCTTGGCTGGCATTACATGGTTAGTCTATAGCAGAACAAACTCCTGGGGTGGTCCCAGGTCAGTGCCCCAACCTATGGACTTTGCTGCCTCCAACAGCATGGGTCAACATCAGACTTCAGTACTGGGTCGATGTGTCCCTTCCTCACTTTGAGCAAGAAAGTGATTTCAGTGCACAAATTATAGGATGGTTTGGATTTGAAGAGCCCTTAAGGGTCATCTAATTCCAACCTCCATGATGTCTTGATGTGGGCCAGAGTATGAATGGCTGTTTGTACCTGCCTGTGGGCACACCTTACCTGACTGCTGCAGATCTTTGTACATTAAGTTAAGCAATACAGATAACTGAGCATACATTATTGAAGTATGACTCTAGTACTTACTGCCATTCTCATTTATTCATTTGTTGACCCCAGTATTAGCAGTACACATTTCTTAAACAAAATCCATGTCCTGCACTGTTAATTGTTAACATAACAGAGGGTTCGTGAACCCATCTTTCATCACATCACTTAAACATTATTTAAACAGTATTTTATTACATTTATTTCTTCAGAGGCGAAAACATTTCCTTGCTAGGCCTGTCAACTGATTTGAAAACTAAATATCTAAATTGCTGTAGTTTATTTTTCACAATTTCTTTACTGTTTCAGTATTAGCCTTGGAGGATAAAATAAAAAATGTAGCTCTCTGTTGTCTTAATTTTAGGATATCAGAAGATAGCTTTCCCAGGAAAGAAATATTGGCTGGCTTGTTAACAGGATGAGTTTTTGAATTTGGATCTTCAAAAGTGAGCAAGGCAGTTAGATGCTCAAACCCAGTGACTTTCAATGAAGAATTGGTTAGTTAAAATTCACAGTCCTCCTTCAAAAGCTCATCCCTAATCTCTTCAGAACCATTTATTCTTTATTGTAATTAACTGTGGATTTAGACTTCAGGATAAATTCACCTTGACTAAAATTTACAAAAGCATCCTCAAGTCCTATTTTCAGAATGACTCAGGCCCCAGAAAGCCCAAGCTTTACTGAAAGTCCCCAAAGTTACTAATGTGATATCTAAAGTGTGGCACTGGAGACCTTTCCTGAGCTCCTGAGTTCACATGTTTGCATCTGCCACATTCAATTTCCATCCCACAGTAAGGTCTGTGCACCCACCACCTTCCCTCCCATCATGACCAGGAGGGCTGTGGGCTAGAGATGTGGTGCAGTTGCTCTTGCCCACTCTGGGTCTGGTGAAGGTGACCAGGATGGTGACATGTGCAGTGAAGCATACCTAACCATGGTCTGATGGGCTGGACAATTAAAAAAATGCATTTCATTAGGATATTGGTCTTCAAGAAGAATGGAAAGGTTTGGCTTGGTATGAGTGAGTAGGGTTTTATAATGTACCTTAAAGTGAACATAGAGAATGGATAAATGTGGATGTAGGATTTCTCTTCTCAGCTGAGCTGCTATGTAACATGTACAATAAGTTTTAAAAGAGTGGCATAATTGTATCCTTTCTAATGATTGCTCTTCCATCTTGGCTAAGAAGAAGGGTCAGTGAAACTCAATACTGAAAGTGATGCCAGAAAAGCAAAGAAAAGATCTTCTCTGGAAGCCTTAGGATTCTCACTTCTCTTGGTATGATTGCAGATGTTGCAGTGCTAGGTTTTGTTTCTGCAGAGCTCTGCATGTTTTTATGCACATGAGCTGTCCTGTAGACCTCTGTATTATCCTGTGTGTTCTCAAAATCAGAGCTGCAATCCAGGGACTGCTGACTCTCACTGCTTCACTGCAAAATCCTACCAAGTGAAAAAAAAAGAAGTTAAGAAAATCATGTGTTTTGTGTATTCCAGCCAGCCAGTAGTGGTAACTTCTACTGGGAAGCCCCAGAATAAGATTTTCCATCTAGTGGTTCAAACAAGAGTTTTGAATTCTTATGGTCTTTTTTTTTTTTTGTCCTTTTTCTTTTTCTGTTTTAATTCAGAATGAAATGATTTGCTGATGACAACAATTTGTGGGGGAGAACCATATGAACCAGCTCTGATGACAATTTCATAAGGGCAAGTTGTTTAGTTCCAGCAGGACATCCTTGTGTAAGGCTGGATTGCCACCTAGACAGAGCAGGTATTCAGAAAGAGGAGATTAGATAGGCAGGTCTGTGCTGAGAACCAACAAGACAAGGACCAGTTCCCTGCCCTGTAGTCAAAGGTATGACATGAGCTGTGTCTGGGTCAATGCTAAACACTCTTCACCCTAAATTGCTCACTGCATCCTGCACTGTCCCCATAAAACACCTTAATACTTTTAAATAATGGTATTTTGGATGAGATCAGTTCAATTACATGGATGACACAAGTGTGACACTTGGCAGCCAGAGCCCTGCCTGGCTCCAGCTCTTCCTTCTGGATACCACAGGCATCAGCAGCATCAGTGCCTCCACCATTGTAGTGGCTGAGCCTTTTTTTGGCACCCTGATGTCTGATTTTCCCCAGCAGAATATTGATTATTTTGGGGTCCATTTTTTTCTTTTTCTTTTCGTTTTTATTTTGGAACAGCAAATTCATTCTAAAGCTGAGAAACTTTTTTTGTTTATGTTTTTGTGAGGCTTGATACATTCTGTATCAGTTTTGTTTTCAGCGAACCAGGTTGGGTGAGTGTGTGGGGAGAATGAAATACACCTCAGAGCAACCTCCCTATAAACAGCCCTTCCAGTCACAGTCTCGTCCTACATTTCTGCCTCTGATTTTGTGCTGCTTGTCTAATTATGTTGGCTGCTGTGTAATTATTTTCATGGAACAATAATTTTAACGGCGTGCAGTTTATCAGAGGTGCAAATTATACATAATAACATACAGCAATTTTCAGTTAAAACTTCCATAACATTCAAAAGTCCTTGCACTTCTTCCATAAATTGAAGAGAGAAAAGAATTGAAGATATAAAAATTTTGTATCCATCCTTTCCCTTTTTCTTAGAGAAAACATCCTGCTGCTTTGCTTGTAGTCAATTAAACCTATTTGAAATAAAGCACTTTTATTTTGGAACAAGGCTGTCCACATGGGGAGTTAATCAAGAATAATTATTCCTCTCTAAATTCACATCCTCAAATAATTTGAATTAAATCCCCACTATAGACCACCCTTAAATGTCAGAGGAGGTTAAAAAAAGTCAGCTAGAGGAGGTCTGTCATATCTGAAAGCACTGAGGATAAAAACTGTCTGGGCACCCAGGCCAGGTGGGTGAGGAAAGCCATGTCAAGGCTCATTCAGACTCACCAGCCTTGGTTACACACACACTTGCTCAGTGCTTTGAAATCAATCCCATACACATTTCAGAGACATCATCTGTACATGCACGTGGCAGTGATGGCAGCATCAGGGAGGGACATGGTGTGATCATCAGATGAGAGCAAGGATTAGCATATTTCAGGAAAAGAATTTTGCTCGGGGATGGCTTTTGCTTTTACAGCAGGCTGAAGGCAACACAACTCACAGACCTTTCAAGGACAGGGAACTTGTGGGGAATTTAGGCACATCTGCACTTCCATCTCAGATTTGCCAGACTCTGGTTTTGTTAAAACACAAGTTTTGCTTGCACATTGCTGCCAACTGAGCACAGGGTTTGTCACCATTATTTCTCTAAAACAACAGTACCACTGCAGTGCCTTTGCTGTGCCAAGAACCAGTGGCTGCAGCAGTCTCTGGAGAGTCTGTAGGCAGGACCAGGTGCCCCTGTCCTCTGCAGCCTCCCTACAGCAAACAAAAAATACTGTCAGTGTGTCTACCTGCGTGATATTTCATCCTCCAGGCAAACCACTGGCCATGCCTGAAGGCAAATCCTGTAGCCAACACACAAACCCTCCAGACGTGGGTGGTAGGTGACTTGGCTGGGATTTCCATCCACAAAACTTGAAGATACCACAAATGTCTGAGCTCAGGGTTTTACCAAACACAAGGCAT